GCTGGCCTAGCTGGGCCGCACATGGAGAAAACAACAAGGTTGCAGAGGCCTTCTGAGGATCACCAGCCACCAAAGGTGAGCCCTGGGATTTCCAGGTTAGCTGCTCCTCCTGGCATTGAAATCACAGTTGGAAGATGTGCCAAGAGACCCACACGTATGAAATACCCGTGTGTAGGGTTTGGGTTCATTTCTGACACCACACAACCTTTAGCTGCTGGTCATTCACCTTTATTAACGAGCACACTGAGGAACAGGGAAGACACCCGCGGGCCGGGGTGCTCTGTGGGTCTGTGTCTCAAAGCTGGGCTCCCAGGAAGGTTCTCGGATGTCGAAGCACTGCAACCTTTCCCAAGTGAAACAGTTTCTTGGCTTTCCACACCTTCCCTGCAATATTTTTGGAGCGCTCTGTCACATATGCTGCAACCAAGCAGTGAGTGTAATGTTAGTATGATAGGACTAACAGAGACACCCTAAAAAGGTGGAGGGATGGCATGATCATTCAAGCCTTGGCTCCCGAGGCAACAGGTCAACAAGGATTTTTATTGCAAAAATAATTACTATTCCAGAATAATTCGTGGTGATCAAGTGCGAAACTCGGAAAATATCAACCCCAACATGCAACTTGGGAGAAAAGGGTGATCAGATGGAGGTGCCTTTCTATAATAAAATGCTACAACCCTAGCTGTAGCTACCACAAAAGTAGTAAATGAAGACACCGGAATCCAGGATTGTTAAAATCCTATTCCTCTAGTTGCAAGGATTTCTTCTTTTTTTCATTGAGAATCTGAGTTGGCACCATAGACCGACCAGGAACTTTTGCTTTCTGCATAACACAAAAGACTGTTTCGTAGCTGTGTTTAGTCAGCTGATGGCCTACTGTCACATGTGAAGTGTAACAAAAAATTCTTCCCAAAAAGGGAATTTGGGTAGCATTAAGCATAGTTGATAGCCCATTGATAACAGCAGGCAAGGTTTACCTAAAGGTATATGTCTGGCCAAAACGAGACTGCTTTCTTGGCAAAACATCAGGTACATTCTTCATATCCTCTTTTTTTTTTTTTCCTATGAGAAGTGATTAACAATCCCTGTACTCGCGCTGGGGAGATGGAAGTGTGATAGCAGTGAGAACATGCCAGCTCAGTCGCAATCTAGACATGCAGGTACCCATGGGGTGATCACACCCTGTCATCTGACAGGCCTTCAGGTAGCAGAGATGCATATCTCTTGGATGACTTTAATACCTGGGAACTAAAGCTGTGAAGTACTGAACACCTCCTACTCACTTCTGCATAAGACTGAGCCCTAAATCTCTCTGAATGTGTGCTTCTTTGCTATCAGCATATTTAAGATAAATTTAAATAATTTCTCTTTTATAATTCAGTTCTTTTTAACAGTGAAACTACTGTATGTTCAGCATTACAATGTAAAATCTATGACATTAAGATTTGGTGATGACTGACCAGTTTCATGCAAGCCTTCATTTCCAAACATCACTTAAGAAGTCAGCTAAGCCTGGGCAGTCAAGTCCTGCTCTGAGAAAGCTCTGTTTTCAGATGGTCCCTTCAAGTCTTCACTCCTAAAACATTTCACTGGATTTTTAGTCTTCTCTCCATTCCTTTTACAACTCTCTTTTCCTAGCTTCCTCTCTCTTCTTTATGGCTTACTCTTCTTTTCTCTTGCTCACGCTGTTGGCTGCAGGCACAGGATAAACAGATCCAAACATTTTCTGCTTCGAGCCTTCTGGAATGTTTAGTCTAAAGCCTGACAGCCGGGGAGGAAGAATGCGAACGAGCAGATCTTTACAGCAAAGCCACCTTTTAGTGATTACCCCAGCCATGGTGGTTTTGGATTCCTCTAACCACAGGTCTGATCCTCGGTACCCCTCAAGTCTATTTACAACATGTTTAATAATTTCCACCAGCTGGCCTTTATTGAGAGTGTCATTCAATATTTATGTAACATTTTCATGTATCAAGTAACATGGCAAAAAAGCTCTGTCTTAACCGACCTTATTGTTTTTAAGCTGATAATGTTTTGTTTTTAATTACCAGACATTTATTGTCAGCAGTTTTTCTCCGGAGGTTCTCAAAAACCCCGTTGGGAAGGAGTGCTCAAACTCCCGTCCTCCCCAGAAAACTTTGCATCAGGCCCGCAGTGCTGAAACTCTGTGTTTGAGGATCACTTTTCATTTCTGGGACCAACAACGTGGAAGCAAGGGAGTCCAGGTAAAATGAATGTCCCATACGGTTTAAAAAACACTTGTGAATGGTTTCTAAACCTGACATTTCAACTGCAAATGCAGCTGATTTTATAACAACAAAAAAAGCAACAATCACATGAGGATACTGCAGTCATATGATTTTTTTTTTTTTTTTTTGCATAGTCAGTCACAGCTTTGGCACTGGCTTTGATTTACGCTCCCTCTCCTTTCTGCCAGATCATGAGGGCTTAGTTTAAACAAGCCTGGTGCCCTTCGGCTGTTGCCTTCACGCTTCTCCCAGGCTGGCAGTAGAGGGGAGGAGCGAGGGCTGCTGCAGGCCGCAGGGTGCTGAAGCACAGAGGCTGCACAGGCAGGATGCCCTTTTCATCTGCGCTGGGATCGTGGTGCTGCTGGGGGAAAGGAGCGCGCTGCAGCTCCCGTAGCTTTCCTGCCCCTACCTCTGCCTTCACACACAGAGGCCATGACTCACCGTGTCTGGACGGCCTCCGCAGTGGGGTGATTTAGAGGAGACTGGAGCGCAGCGAAGGCAAAAGGAGTTTGCTTTGCACCCAGCACCAGCTCTCAAAGACAAATGGACATCAGAGCCTGACAAAAATGCTGGCTGTGATCCTCAGTGTAGGGACTCAGGAACTGGTAGAGAATGAAAAAAAAAAAACCTAAAACCAAACCAAATAATAAAATAATAAATACCCATAGTTAGAAAATAACCTTCCATTGGACAATCTCTTAATTTTGTTGACAGTGCCTTGGGCTTACAGACTTCCACCTGCCCTGCTCCAAATTAAAGGGGTTTAGTGTTGCCTGGCTGGCACTGCTCTGTCTCAGCAGTCTCCCTTCTGCCAATGCTGTCCTTTGGGATCAGTGACCTTGGTCTTTTCAATTGCTCTCTTGAAGACCCAGATGACAGCACATTCAAAGGTCCAGGCTATTTCTCACATCACAGTTCTACTTTGGTAGAACTTTGGTCTTCCCTTGGAAGTATTCACCACGTTTTTTGTCAAGTTTGTTTTTCTGGTCTTTTTTTTTTTGTTCAGGACACCCCCTCATCACTTTTAGTTGGACGCCTGCAGTTCAGCTCAGAGACTTCTACCAAACCTGAGCTGTAATTACCTATGTTGGCTTGTCAGCACTTCCACCAGCCTTATTTAGTTCAATAAGTTTTTCTCAAGAGCATTCATATCTGCTTCTGTGTTGTGTTTCAGCAAAGCTTGTGCTTTTGCTGCAAACAAAAGCAATAAACTTTATGAGGCTTCCAGGGCTGCAGAGATTCAGCAGCTGCATTGCCTTAAGAAGACCACTTGTGGAAGCTATCTGGGTTAGTGAAGCACATTGAATCTAAATGTGAACTGCTAAGTGCAGTGTTTGCCTGGTTTCCATTTTCCATTAACTTCCTCTGTTTTCCTATTATCTCTCTACACCATGGGCTACAATGAAACACTTGCCTGTTTGTCAATCATGGCAACTCATGGCTAAACATGGACAGGACATCACTACATATAGCCTGTGACCACGCTTCTAACTCTGGGCAGCATCTAACTTCACCTTAAAGTGGGCCTGCAACAGCCTCCAATCTCGGTTAAAGCCTCTGAAATCTCACTCAGAGCAGCACGGCCATAAAGGACATTTGTAAGTGTCCTGCAGGCTGATGTGCTGTCATCTCAGTGTCATGCAGCATTGCAAGGAGACCTTGCATCGTGATGTCATATCACACAAGTGCAGTGGGGTAGATGTGTGTGCTCTTCTACACAAGCTTTTAAATAATATTTTCCTTAAGAACTGACTCTAATTGGGAGCCAACTGCAAGGATGTGTTAGAATTAGCCAGTCTCCACTTAGTTTGTAGCTGTTGCTCAGCATTTATAAACATTGACAGATTTCCCCCAAGGTTCTCCTCTCCAGCCTGAACAGTGCCAGCTCCCAACCTTTCCTTATGTGACAGGTATTCCAGCAGTCCTCTCTACGGCTCTTTGCTGGACTCACTCCAGTAGCACCATCTCTCTCTCGTACCGGAGAGCCCACACTCAGACTCAGCACTTCGACTGTGGCCTCACCAGGGCTGAGCAGAGGGCATCACCCCGCTCAGCTGTCTGGAGATGCCTAAAGCAGCCCAGAGTACCACTGGCCTCCTTTGCTGCAAGCGCCCACTGCTGACTCATGGTCACCCTGTTGTCCACCATGACCCCTGGTCCATCTCTGCTCTCCAGTCCGCCATCCCCAGCATGGACTGTCGCATGGATCCATTCCTCTCCAGGGGCAAGACTTCGCATTGCCCATGAGGTTCCTCTCTCTCTACTTCTCCAGCATGTTGAGGTTCCTCTGAATGGCAGCTCAACGCTCTGGTTTATCAGCCACTCCTCCCAGTTTTATATCATCTGCAAACTTGCTGAGACTGCACTCAGTCCCACCATCCAGCTCATTAAGAAGATTTTAATGAAGTAGTGATGGGTCAATCAAATGCTGTCGAATAACAGTTGCAAATCAGTCTGAGGTGAGAGTTAATTTGGATTTCTGGAAAGAAATGGCTTTAATTTAAAAACAAATAAGAGTAAAAATTGATCGCAGTGCAAAATTAGTATTAAAATCCCTTCAAGGTAAATGGTGTGGCTCTAAACAGGTCTCTCAGAAATCCCAGGGAATGCTGAAAGCAAAGGGGGTGAGTCATAAGCACATGAGCTGAAAGAAGCTGAAGACAAAATCACGCATCTCTGCTTAATTCCATCACATGATGAGTCCTGGGGCCCTTCATTTAATCGGCGAGCAGAGCAGCAGAGAAACTTTATTCTCACTCCTCAGCAGAGACTGAAGGAGTTACTGTGTGGAAGAACCGGGCACACTCCACTCCGCTGCACCGGTTGAGCGGACGCGCCGTCTCTCGCACCATGAGCAAGGTTTGCCACCACCTCGGGTTCCTGCTCCTGGCTGAAGCGGCTCTGTGTACTGCTGCCCTACGTGAGTGCTTTACTCTTTCCTCTTCCCCTGCATCTGCAGATACAACAGCTTGAGACAGGGCTGTAAAAACTTTTTTTTTGCTACTGCACAGTGTAGCAGTTGCTGTAGTTTTGCTTGGGAACTGGTAGGTAGCAGGTAGATGCTGCATCTCGAGGTTACCTGGGCCTGGGTAGAAATGTCACTGAAGCTGCACAGAAGTGCAGACAGCTGCTCAGCTACCTATTGCTCCACAGATAGAGAGGGAGTTGACTGGAGTTAAGCTTTGGCTCATTTCCTCAAATTTCCAGAAAGAAAATTTGCTGTCCCCAGCAAAAGCACAGCCAAAAAAAAGGACAGAGGTAGAATGAACTTCTCATAATTTGCTCAACTAAACTTGGACAAGAAAAAGCCAGGTTAGATGTGTTAGAGATACTGCTCCCAGCTGGAACATCCATGCCTTTGGATGCCAAATCTCAAGGAGTTCAGTCAAGGAATTAGACCCTGGAGCTGTGTTAGGCAGGCACAGAGCTGGTCCCCATCTTCCAAGGCTCTCAACTTGACTCAGTCTAGGCTGACCCTCTGACTTCAGAGTTAGGAACCAAGATTTGGGAATTTAAGAGGGAACTGAAGACCTTATAAGCTGAGGTCAGCCTTGTACCTGTCACCAGTGGGGAATAGTAACGAACATATAACTGGACAAGATCACAGCAGCATTTACTCAGGATATTAACTGTACCTTACATGCACAGTAATTAGTAGTTTTATGTTTTTGCAAGTTGTTCCTTGAATTCTCTTTTTTCCTGCTTTGTTATGTTATTACATTGAACTTTTCAGAGTTTATACTTTTTTTAGCTTATAAACGACGACTTAACCTGGCTAAGAAGCCAACTTACCTCAGCTTAGCTGCATGTATGTGACTTCTTAGCCTGGCCATAATATCATCCTTTTCACATCTAATATCTTTCTCTTCGTTATATCTTATTATTATTGCTGTTCTAACTCTTTCTCTCATGGCTTACGTTAGCCATGTGTGGCTAGAAATGCTGAACTTCCTTTCTGTTCCTTTTTTGCCAAAAACAAAACCAGATGAGAAAGAAAAAGATCAATTTAGGAATAAGGTCTTTTCCCCTATGATCACCTCACCAAAACTATTACAATAACCATTTCCCCACTCTATTATTGGTTCCACTCTGAACCAAATTGCCCCAATTTTGGTTATGACCAACATCTGTTCTCGAATATTTTCAATTGTTAAAGAAGCCTTTTGTTCCTTTAAGCTCAGCAGCTGAAAATCTTCAGTTCATGTGCTAGAGAAGCTGGAGCTGAAAAATTTTCTTGACTGAAAAAAATGCCTTTGTCTTCTCCTGAAGCTTGTGAAATGTTTTATATTTGATCAAAACAAACAAAACACATCAGAGAGGCAGACAAACGCCTTAGGAACTTGTGATTTAGAAGCACTGACCACAGTTATTACCAAGTTGGATGAGAAAATGACTTTTGAATTCAAAGATTGTTACTCCAAAGCTTTTAAAAAATTAAGAGTTTTCTAGTTCTTTTTGATGAGTGTTTGCAGGATGGGGGGAAACATTGACTGAACCCATTGTTTTGATCTCACAAAGTCAAAACATTTTCATTCATTAAACGATCTTAAAGTAAAATCAAAGATAACGGTAAAACTAGGAAAAAAATCACAAACAATTTTTAGGAAGATTGCATATTAATTGCTAGACATAAAGTATAATCAAACTTGATATGCCTTGGTGAAATATTTTTATAATCTCTAATCTGTTTTTCTTTTCTCTGAAACATTTTGGAATGACAGAATTACCCGGCTCTGCTTAAGACTAAGACTTTAGATGATAGAATATGTGACACAGACAAAGTCCATTGCAATGTTGTGTTTTGCTCATACCAATGTAGTACATCTTCAGGAAAGGCTTGATTTAATTGATTTAAGTGAGAGTGTGAAAATTCTCCCTAGAACCACAGAACATGATAAAAAGAGTATGTTTCCAATCGCAAAATCCGTTCTTCTCTTCAGACCATCAAGCACCAAGATACTTGGGAGAGGTCTTAGAGCTTCAGTTTGGACTGACCATGAAAGATGAGCATTGGCCTGTTTGAAGGGATGTCCTTTCTGGCAGCTCAAACCACCTATACTTACTACTTAGTTGTTGTGGTTTTTTTTTTTCCCAAAATTTGGAGAAATTCCAACATAGCTGGTTATCTAATACCACCCAGGGACATTCCTGGTGTTCTTAGAGCACTCTGCATGCTCCCTGAAATCATCTAGCAATTGTTGCACTTGTAGATAAATCACAGAAGTGTCCAACATCAGGTGACTTCCAAACAAAGACATGAAAAGCAGAAGCAACCTGGACTCCCTGGCTGTGGTGGCGCACCCAGCGCTTACCTGATTAACAGGACTGCGAGCCTGTTTAAAGCCTCCGGGCTCTAATGGAGCTCTGCCCATGAGCTTACTTACAAACATATATTTATGGCAGCCTACAGTGTTAAACATGTTCCCACAGGTTACTCGGTTATTTATTTTGCTTCTCATAATGCAACTGCTTTGTGACAGAAGCCTTTCAAATGCCTGGGAAAAATATGAGTCCATCATTCGTGCTAAAATGAGAAGAAGTTATTAAGATTGTTTAATCTGGGGCATTTTAAAATAATAGGCATGAAGCTAGTATCTTTGTTGTTATATTAATTTAATGTTGTTACATTAAATTTACTATTCAGCTCTACGTTTCCTTTTTCTGGAAAGACCAGTTAAAATTGCCTCAACCACTCCCATTCAAACCACCAGCCAACTCATAATGAAGCTTTAGTGGGTCAAAACTCATTCCTAGCATAGCTTCTGCAAAGTGCAACTGAGGCACAGAGTGAATTTAGCCTATTGCTCTTTTAATCATAGATTAACAGTCAGGTGCTAAAGAGTTAGCAAGGAAGCAACCTCTTTACAACTAGACTACAATGGACATAACCATGTCCATTGTAGATTGGAGGAGTGCAACTACAAATAAGTAACAGAATTTTGTTTAGGTTAGTCATCGGAGATTTAAGTGTTTATAGCTGTGGAGATAAAGTTCAATAACTTTCCACTAGTGAAGAGTTTTCTAATCAGTGCAAGAAAAGAATCACAAGTAGATTGTTCAGCATGATTACGTCCTGACAGAGTAGCAGGGAATATATTATGGCATTATATGTTATTTTTTTCTATCTAGGGTTCCAAGATGTGCTGAACCAAGAACAAACTTCTCCAGCCACATTGTATAGGAAGATACAAGGCTGGTCTAGTGATCAAAATGAATGGAATGAAAACCTTTATCCCTTCTGGAAAGAAGGAGATCCCAGATGGAAGGACTGCTGGAAAGGTAGCTGCACACACAGAGTTCAAAAACATTTTTGAATTAGAAAAAAAAAGTCCAGAAAATCCACCTCATCAACAAGTGTAGGTGCTATAATGGTATTTCCTACATGCTGCTTCATGCAATAATAAATTTGAGACCATTAGCTTGGTTACTACTATTAGTAGATTGCTTGAGGAAGCATATTATTGAGTTGTTACAGTTTCAAAAATTCATACATGTTAAGAGGTATGAGAGGCAGTAGTTAAGGACAATCCTTTAGTTTAGTTTAGTTTTGTTTTTTGGAAACATGTACCAGAGGACATGTAGCTCCAGCTCTTATACTAGGGTACTGGGAGGGACTTCAGTTGAATAATGTCAGTGAAGACTCGGTTTATCATCCCCTTGTCTGAGCTGAGGTCTAAAGACGCTATCCCTGGAGAGAAATAAAAGTATTCTCCTTTGGAACATATGGAACCAATAGATAAAAATCTGATTCTCAGCTTTAAGAAGGAAATAATTCACAGATCAGTGAGTGATTTTGGCAGAGATGATAAAACCCTCTGCTTCTTGTAAACTGCAATTTTGATATGGGTGCAAGCAATTTTTGGAGCACAAATACCATTGGAAATAAGAGAGATGTCAATAAAGGATTTCAAATGCAAACAGTGTACAGTTGCAGGTAACTGTTGCCCTATGCATCCTTTACTGCAGTGAAGTGTCAATTGTATTTTCCGCAGGAGGAAGGGTGAGAGCCAAGCTGGTCACTGATAGTCCAGCACTGGTAGGATCCAACGTGACCTTTGTTGTGACTCTCCAGTTTCCCAAATGCCAGAAAGAAGATAACGATGGTAACATAATATACGAGAGAAACTGCACCCAGGGTAGGTATGGTAATTGCCATCTACCACCGTGTGTCTCACTATTGTTCTGGTGTGAGTGCCCTAAGTCTTTGAAACCTTCAGAAGCACAACCCACAATCAAAAGTTATGTTGCTTTTAACTGATACCTACACTAATGTCTAGCCTGTGTCATGCCATTTTTCCTCTTCAGAATATCACTGTACTATTTTTACACTTCTACACCTGCTATGTATAGCGGCCAACTACTTTAAGGAGATTTGTCTTCACTACAAAATTAGCTTTCTAAAGTAATGACTTTAATTTGGCTTCCTATAAATTTATTGCTTTTCAGATCACTCACAAGGTTGCCTAATCCCTAGATGAAGACAGGCTCAACTGATCACTCAGTCACAGTGTTTTCTTCCAAATTTATAAAATTGACAACTTAATTGAGACTTTTTTGTTCAATTAAGTAGAATTGTAGAACCACTAACAATTTTCTGTGTCCTGAAAACCCCCAAGGAAGAGTAAATTTCACATTTGCATATTTCAAGAATAAAAAATAACTAGGAAAACTTTATTATTTAAAAACAAGCAGTCTTTTCACCAGGGCATCACCTTTTTTTGATCATCATTACATGCTACAAGGAGCAAAAACATCACAGTTCTGCTTTTTGAAGTTACTCGATCTTGAGTGAAACAGGCTGTTGTACCGATCTTCCTCTGAACTCATAAATGTTCAGCAAATGTTTCTACTGATCAAAGTAATTTCCATTTCAAACAAGGATATTTTTTTCAGCACATGTTCTACTTCTTCCACTATCTAATGTCTTGTTAACTGCTGATACCCATTCTCTACTTAATGTCCATTTTACTGTTTGGGGACGGACTGTCTTTTTACTACCCCGAATGGTACTATAGTTGATGTAATAGTGCCACAGAAATATTTTCTGGCAAAACAAATCACTTCCACTGCTGGCACAGATTTTTTTTTGTAATTAAATATTTAATTTTGCTTGCTGAATATCAGGGCAGCTCCACTGGCTCCAGTGAAACAGTATTACCCTCTGTAGTTGACAGCAGGTAGCAGGTTTGGGGCACGCAACTTTAAGCTATGTCTTAAAAAAGCAAACAAAACATCTCAGAAGAACTAAAATAGCCAGCTTACCCCATTGCTCCATTTGCTGTGACCTGGGATGTCTGCGTTCTGCTTTCCGGTTTACCATACGCTTCACAACTGACCAGGAACATGTCCTAATTCTAAACTTAGATCCTCCAGCTCTGCAGGATCAGTATGTCTACAACTGGACTAAATGGATCGACAACTGCGGCTGGGAAAACTGTACGAGCAACCACAGCCATAATGTATTCCCAGATGGGAAACCTTTCCCTCATCATGCTGACTGGAGAAGGAGGAACTTTGTCTACCTGTTTCATACATTTGGTTAGTACTGCAAAACATATCTTGGTTTGGTTGATGCTGCAAAACTTACATTCTGTTTGTATATTAGCTCATTTTTTCTAATATGTTTCATTTAAAGTTCTTAAAAGGCATTCGATAGTTCTCAAGTGAGAATCCCAAATTCATTCAGTGCTTTTCAGAGAGGGTATCAGCTGCTCTCTTATCTTCTGCCAGATTTTAAAATCATGTATTACCAGGAGATTTCCTTGAGGGCTAGGCATTCAGAGAACTAAAACCATAGAAAATTAGTTTCCTTTCAGTAGTATGCAAGATAGTTTTCTAGGAAAACAGTAGCCCTGAGCAGGTCAGGCAGAGGATTCGTTGACCAGTTGCTGCTACTTTGGATTCCTGAACTGAGAGAGACCACGGAGCTGTATGCCTGTAGATTAGTTTAATGGTATCGCACTTCTTGGCTCCGAAAATCGTCCATGACTGTGTGGTTCTGTTCTAGTCACAGATAGTGGGTTTTAGTATTTTCAGTTCCCGAGTATGTAATGGTTGGGTACTTCAGACGCTGGCTACACACTAACTCTTAATATCCTAATTTAGCTTCACAAATACCAATATAAGCATCAGCAATAATGACAGTAATGATTTCAATTTTAAATAAAGTTGGTAATATTTACATATCTCAATCAGCTGTTATGAATATAAATAAGTAAATGTATACAAGGAGTTATGGTAAATGAGGCAAGAAGCATTATACCTTCTTCCTACACTGGTTACACAAGTTAATTTTAAATACTGAAGAGGTAACACTGTTCACTACATAATCCTGATATATAAATAAATTCCTTTGGAAAGATGTGGATGCCTTGTGAATGCCTTTTCTTAGATCAATGAAATTTGGAAGATCTTTCTGACATCTTTGAGAAAAATCACATAACCATGTTGTGTCAATATTCAATGCTCCAAAAGGACCTGTTTTTCAGATAACTGAGAGATGATTCTGAACTTGTATTACAATTTATACAATCATAAATTCACGGAGACATTGGTTATCTTGAACGGTTTACTGTAGCTAGCCTTAAGGGTAAAACATTTTATAAGTTCATATTCTGTTTCAGGTCAATACTACGAAAAAAAGGGACGCTTTTCAACCATTGTTTCACTCAACACAGCAAATATCACTCTTGGCAAACATGTGATGGAGGTTTCCATTTACAGGAGAGGGCACTCAACTTATGTTCCGATTGCAAGAGCAAGTAGCATTTATGTTGTAACAGGTGAGTGTCCTGAAATAAACTGTAATAAAATCCTGGAAATATTTGTTGTGTAGGTGTTACAAGAACTGAACACGAGCAATATCTGGCATGAAAAAAAGGCATTGGCCCAAGACAAGTTTTAATAAGGATGTGAAATCTCTGGCAAATTGCCTTGAATAACATAATCTACCTTTGCATCTACCTCCCTAGTAACACCTCTACTTTGTGATGAAAAGTAATTTACTAGAGGAAATGTCATCTTCAACAGGTGCTCGTGATTCCTTATATGTTCCCAGACTTCTCTGTGTAAGTGTTTCCTATTGACGTTCACTCACTAAACTGAACCAAAACAGAAACCCATGTTAAAGATACTGTCTTACATTCTGACTATTCAGGAACTTTGGATATGTTTGCTGGCAGATATGCTTGTTTTAATTGTTTTCATCCTTTTTTTCTTTTTTTGCAGATAAAATTCCATTATTTGTGAACATGTCCCAGAAAAATGACCGCAACATCTCAGACTCCATCTTCATCAAAGACTCACCAATCACATTTGACGTGAAGATCCATGATCCCAGTTACTATCTTAATAACTCTGTCATCTCCTACAAGTGGGACTTTGGAGATGGAAGCGGCTTATTTGTATCAAGCAGCTTCAGTACACCGCACACTTATACTCTACAAGGAAACTTCACTCTGAATTTAACTGTCCAAGCTATCATACCTGTACCTTGCAAGCCAGTAACACCCACTCCACCACTGCCCACCTCAGCAGGTAAGAGTTCATCTGTCAGCAGTGATACTGGATCAGCAGTAATAATAAAGAAACAGAATTTAGAATTTTAAGTATATATCTTTAAAAGTTGTATGCCATCAAAGTAAGACTCGAAAAACTCTGCGAACCTGTCTATGAATGTAGTGTCGAGACAGAATCAATAAACACATAGGCATCAGTTACACATTTAGAACCTGATTCTCATTTACAGTACACGAGATGCTACCACAACAACACAGAGCACCATGTGAGGACATTAGGTAGACACATTCCTTTTTAGACCCTTCACCATGCAAAGTCAAATGGTTTTAATTTTGCCTATTCAGGGACATTTCCAGAGGTAAGGTTTAAATTTGAACTGAAAAATAGTTATTTCACAATAGCTGCCTACATCCTGCATCCACACTCTTAGAGCTGGTTCCTTCCTCGTCTTTACTAACCTCCATTCAAAATTTAATGAGGTTGGATTGAACTAGGAAAAAAAAAGTTACTCTTATTCCAAAATATGGGATTTTCACGTGGCATTAACCCAAAATTCCTTTTGCGCCTAAAATTTACATGCTATCATGTTTCAGAACAATTTTGACTATGTTCAGCACAGGCTTATCATCTCAAAGAATTTTACGTTTTGCCAAAAACCTGCAGCTTCAGCCTGGTTACTTATAATACTACTACTATGACATTGAAAACACAGCTAATTTTAATATATGCTTTTAAAAATGTTAAATGAGAAAGAAAAGGGAAAGATATAATTTCCATCACCTCCATCACCTCTTAATTTATCAACTAACACTAAAGTAGAGCAATAGAAGAACACAAAATCTTAAAGCTTTTGAAGGCATTTGAATTTATTCTGTAATTGATCCAGGAATTTAAATTAAGTTTTTAATTATACCAAAACTTGTAGACTCACTTATTTCTTAAAGTGACTAGCATGGTGGCTTTTGGAGTGAAGCTGTGGAGGCCCACAGTTCTGAAATCCCAGCCACACTTGGGCTATACAGAACAGCAGGGCACATACTCCTTCTTTAAGCTTCTACCATGATCACAGAACCACAGAACCACAGAACGGTTCAGGCTGGAAGGGACCTCTAGGGATCAGCTAGTCCAGCCCCCCTGATCCTATATGGATAAGTGCATTCCTGCATAGCTTTAGAGCAGAACAACTAATGGCAAATGTAATGAATGTAGTGGAAAGACATGGACATGGCCATGTTCAGAATAGCCTAAGTAGAATTTATTCTAGGCTGTGTATCTATTTTCGCTACCTAAAACAGCAGTAACCTTTGAACCATCTTCTGATCCAGACTCTTCTGCTGTCGAGACAACGGAAGACAAGCCAGACGGAGGCTGCCATATTTACAGATATGGATATTACGGAGCTGATATCTCTATTGTAGGTAAGGAACCTGAGTCCACATCTCAACAGCAGAATGGGGCCAATAATGTAATATACATATGGCTGAGAAAAATCTTTATTTAGCTTCTCTTTTATCTAATGTGGGACCTACAACAAGATCCTTCTCTCTTAGACCAAGCTGACATTTCTAAAGGTTGAAGCACAGCTACGACACACGCTCCCAGTAGCAGAGCTTATGGTGCCTTGGGTCTCTGCTCCACTGCCACTGGCTGCCCCTGTGCTATAGCACAAATGTTTCCAGTCATTTGCACTGGAAGGAGCTGACAAGACTGTGGGCTGTAGCATTCTTTTCTATACCATGAGCTTCAGAAACTGGCACACCTGAAACACGCTGGCCTTGAGAGATCACATAAGGCTGAGCTGACCTTAGTACGCACAGAGGTCCTGGTTAGCAGGATGCTGAGGTAGTTATGTGGAGGCAGAACAGGAGGGAACAGCCTCGTAAGAAATGCACTGGAAGCCTCCTGCTTCAAACCCTTCAAGAAGGGTGCTAAGGGAGAAAGAAGGTTACAGAAAACAAAGCCTGAGCTGCACATCAGCTAAACTCTTGAGGTTCTGTATAGAGACACTTCAGAGCTTATCATATGTCCTATCCTTGACATCTGTTTCCTCTTCCAGAGGGAATCCTTGAGGTAAATATCATTCAGATGACAAACATCCAGATGACAGAAAGTCAAGCTGAAAACTCCCTCGTTGATTTTGTTGTTACCTGCCAAGGGAGGTAAGCGTGTAAATGAACCTGCCAATCGCTTTCAAACTAGGAGCTGGAACGCAGCTCGCGCTTAGATGCAGCTGCATGAACAAAAGCTGGGACCAGAGGCATTTTTATTTCTTTTCTGAAACCAGAGATAGTGAAAGTCTCACTTGAGAGCTACTTCAACACATGCTCCTGCTAGGCTCTTAGGACTCAGAACAAATGCCATGCCTAAGTAAAAATAAGAGAACTAAATAAATAGGTAAAGTGATTTTTTTTTTTTTTTTGGCAAAGATAGGCTTTCAGGAAATAAGAAACAGTCTACTGAAATTGGAAGAAAACTCTTTCTTTCTGGCCCTGATTTTTTGATATTTAAAGTAAATGGGTGTGTCCAAGCAACTTCTCAGGTAGGAAAACATTGCATTAAAATTCCTGCTCCTAGAATGGGTTTTGAATTAAGAGCACTAAGAGGTACAATTATTTTGACAATGAAACTGGAAAACCATGACTCCTTCTAAAATTAGCATACCAATTTTATTGCACCTAATACTACACATAAGAATCTGTATTCCTTCAATGGCAACAAATTTACAAACCGATTTGCGGTGGCATCACCACCATGAGGGTTAAATTATAAATGAAGCAAGATTACAGAAGTGTTCATTACATAAACTGGGCAAACGGGGCTCCACGCATACGGCGCACTCTCTCTTCCCAACCCAGTCTTCCCACAGATGTGTGCACGGTGGTTTCTGACCCCACGTGCCAGGTGTCTCGGAGCGCGGTGTGTGACCCCATCGTCACTGACAAATGCCATCTCACCGTACGGAGAGCCTTTGATGAACCTGGCACGTACTGCATAAACATCACCTTGGGGGACGACACAAGCCAAGCCCTTGCAAGCGCGCTCATATCTGTAAATGGAGGTGAGTTTGCCCGCAGCGGGTGTGTGTGGTCTGTGAACAGCTTCTCCTGGGATCACCTCCCTGGAGATGGGGGAGATCACAGGTCATCCAGGTGGGTTCGAGGATGCTTAGAGGCTGCAGCTGAGACTGCCAGGATTGGTGAGCCCTCACAAAAATAGCAGATGATACCTTCCCTATGGGAATTGTTGATGTCAGAACTTGGTTTGGTTTATGGGTATGACCTAGTGAGTATGGTAATTAGACAAACCCTTCAGTATCAAAGAACACAAACAGTAGTTCAGTGGTATTTTTCCACAGAACAACTCTGACATAAAGCCTGCCCACTTCACAACACACAGAGAGCTCAAACACAGAGAAACAGAGAGGAATTTGGCTGACCAGAGACAGAATCGAAGCCTACAGCTGAGCTGTCTGTGTTGGGCCCTCTTTTTAACCTGCTGATCTTCACATGGTCTCTACTACATCAGCATAAGGGGTAGAATCAGCTTCTGGAAAGGCCTGTACCTTGCACACGGACTGCAAAGTGTGCGTGGAGCGACTGCTGTAGGTCACCTGAATGGTTAGAATAGAAAGGTCTACCTTTGGTGAGATGAGGCTCACCAGATCTTGCCCCTGATTATCCAAGCAGCCTCTCATGGAACCAGCTATTCACCAGGTCCAGTGAGAAGCCCAACTCACCACAGTGCTTCTCCACTGCCCTCCTGTGCTCCCACTTGAGCATCCTGGTGACTCTACTGTGTTTTCAATTAGCATCAGCCAAGAAACTGACGCTCTGTAGCCATTTGCTGCATCATTTTCAAGATGATTTTATTTAATCTAGGTATAAACTTAGCTATACCTACATCAGTCCATCATAACTAAGGCACTCCCAATCTGTGAGTGCATGTGCGAATTAGAATGTAAGAGAGGTCGCTGATATGAATTCCACTGAAACATTTGTAAACATCTACCAGGCATCATTATTCTCCATTCAAGGGAAAGTAAATATCTATGATCCTCTAAAAATAACATAATTTGGGGCCTGAGTATACTTAAACAACTCTCCTTTGGAGTTAGGCAGACTGTGCCTGGGTTATGTGGGCACTGTACAAAACACCAGCTCCTAACCCAGTTAAACTGCTGTTGAAGGGGTTGCAGTCCTATGAGTTATGCCTGTTCCATAGGTCTGTGGGGTTTTGCAAACTAGTTCAAGGGCCTATACGATTCATAAAATAATGCAAATCCCTACAGTATCAACAAAAATACTGGGTAAACTAGGACTGATGTCAAAGCTTTTTTTAAAAAAAATCGACAAGCTAAAGAATGCATGAGGCACACATCCCAAGTAAACGGTAAACCCAAAAGTGATATCTTCATTTTAATATATAGCAATTATAAATTAATACACTGGTAAATCAACATGTATTTCTAGGTTTTTCATTGTATAAATACTACTAATGTGAGCAATTAACATCAATAAGTGTCAGCCTGTGAACTGTAAAATTAAGATATTTAACATTAATCAAGAAATAACTGTGTTGATTTGGCCTCTTTCTCTCTCAGATACAATGAAATTAGGAGTAAATCTGAGTGCAATGGCCCCTAACACACCAGAACGCAGATTTCAATGACAAGCAGAGTCCAGCGTTGATCTCCCCCCATGAGAATGTTACAGAAGCAGAGCCCTGAGCTCTTTAAAGGAGTAAGGCAAAAAACCCCGGCTCATGGCACTCAGCCCCATTTAACCATGTTGGGATGTGGACTGAAACAGCCAATAATACATTGGAAATTTCCTTTTTTCATCCCTTCTTCCTTATCATCCCTTAGACAGTAAAATAATGATAGTTCTCACATTATACATTAAAGAGACTATGTATGTTATACGCTCCATATAAGTGGTCCCATAGCATAGCCATTGGGCAAGGAGCAAGTGAGCTCCATCTTGTGGGGCCCAGCAAGCCCCTCTGTTCCCTTCCATGCTGAAAGGGCAATCGTGGTTTCAGGAGCACGTCTGATGGAGCTGCCAAAGCCCAGCTCGCAGTCTGATGGCACTGAGAAATGAACTGGTTGGGCTGTGGGGGCACCGCTCCTGCCAAAGGCACTGACCTCCAATGGTTAGCATGCTTGACACACTAAATGTACTCCAATTCATAAAGTAACCTCGTAAAAATGACACAGTCCTTAAAAAAAAATCATTCCACTGTAAAAATGAGGGTAAACTTCTAATCAACCTACTTCCTGAAACCTAGGACCATCCTCCAGAACAACAGAAGGCGTCTTTATCTTCCTTGGTTTGCTGGCCGTGTTTGTCGTCATTGTGGCTGTTGTCCTTTACAAGTAAGTTGCTGTCTACTGCGATTAATAATAGTTCAGGGAAGTGACAAAAATATTAATTTAAATTAACCATACCAACAAGCTGAATTTGCTTTAGCTATATTTTTCTTTTTTATTGCTGTTCACAAATATTCTGGCAAACGGCCACAAAAATGAGTTTACTGCTTTAAGCCATAAAAACATCAAAAATATGCCAACATTAAAGAATTTCATAGAAGATTATATTTTGTGTTCATAAACACAAAGAGTAATACTGTAAAGTCTGGGAACTGCAGTAGGTGATTTATGTATCCAGTCAAAGATAACCAACAAAAATTGAATCTAGCTTTTGATCTCTTACAAGCAGTATTTGAGAATGAGTCACTGACCAAGTATTAATCACCAAAATTCTTCATTAAAAAATAACAGATAAATTGGGGAAAGGGTACTGAGCATGCAGAAAAGTAGATAACCAAAGCATTTGTTACTGCAGTATTAGTTTGGGAGTTTCTCACCAGATTTTAGGAGTACACTGAGGCTCCTGAGTTAAAGGAGCACTCACTCTTCAGGCAGTGGTTAAGAAAAGCCCTCCACGGAGCAAAACAACAACTAAGCAACAGAGCCTCCTCCTTAACTGAGCCACAACTCATCTGTGGCAGGTACTGCTGCAGGGGCTTCTATGGGACTGAAGGGGGAAGGAGAAGAAAGAACAAATATCACAAATTCATAACTGATTCTCATGAGTACTGGTTATTAAGTTGAGTATGAACCTTCATTTAAATGGCTTTTGGCAACGAACTAACTACACATGTTCCTTGCAGGAGATACAAACAATACAAACCTATCGAGAGAAGTCCAGGACAAGCAGAGAACCAGGAGGGATGGAGCACTTATTTCAGCCATTTCAAAACCATTTTCTTCTCTAAGAGCAATGAGAAAGATCCCCTGCTGAAAAGCAAGCCAGGCATTGTTTAAATCTTTAGTCTAACACTGACAGTTAGATTAAGTACAGGACTCACATCTGAATTGTACTTCGGATTTTTTTTCTTATAAAAACAAGGGGCTAAGGTGATAACATATAGACTGTTTGATAACTCTGGGGGCTGGGTGCAATTAGAAATTTTCATGAAATAGTCCTTAGAAAAGATTGAGGTAGCTTTGAGTATCTGTTGTTCTTGCTTGTGACCTAGGATACCTCTATAACTGACCATCCCATTCTTACCTGTTTTCTCACTTTATTACTTGCAAAATTAATCAGATTGGTAATCCAGAGGAAAAAAGAATAGAGGTTTTTTTTGTTTGTTTTTTAACTTGTAGATAACGAATCTTAATTATACAGCACAGTGCAGTTGTTTACTACATTGCTATGGAGAGCTATGTGCAAGTCTCACTATAATCCAGACCACGGACACCCAAACAACAGACTGACAAGACCTACCTACATGGCTCTGCCCGGCAGGAATTTCTAGTCTGCATCCCACATAAAATCCTTGGATGCAACCGCTGGTGGTGGCTTTGCTTCCTGCTGTCTCCATGGCTCTGGAGATATTGGATTGGCACCACCACTCCCCAGAGGCACATGTGTGTTCTGGGGACAAGCAGAACGAGGCTCCTATCAGAGAGGTGCCAGCATTTTACTCCCAGAACAGAAAGTTTTTTCTTGTCATCTCATGGGGTAGAGACACCATTTTCTGCTTGTTCTTGCACCCTTTCTCACTTTGACTACTTACTCAAACAAAAGAAAGTACCATGGTAAATAATGGTAAATAATGTGGTAAATAATACAATACGCTCCGCTTTCTGCTTTTGCATGACTAATGAACTCCATAAAATTGATGCATCTTTGCTTGTTAGTGTAGCTGCAGCTTTGGGTTAACAAAACTCATTTTGGGGCCTTTCTCATGGGCCCATACAGTCACATAATCTAGTACTACTGAGTGTCAGTAGTGGATGACTAGAATAAATTGCTGAAGGTTGGATCACTGGCCGATGAGAACAAAAACAGAAGAGCCTTTTATTTGTGGAGAAGAGTTTTTTATAAAGGTTCACTGAGATGAGAAAACACACTAAAATGTTTTAAATGGTCTATTTTCCATAGGAGTCTGGCTGTTTAATATTAAAGTTTATAATCAAAATGAAATTAACATTTAACTGGACTTCACACAAGCCATTTCTAAACGCTAAATCCATTGAAGAGCTGTATTGCAACATATTTAGATTATTTACTGTAACTTTAACCTTCAGACTGAGACCTATTGCTCTCAGTTCATGAGAACATAGTCAAGCATAGATGCATTTTGATATTTTAGCAGACCTGTCAAATGCTCTCTATTTGCAGCCTGAATATAGTCATCACTACCACTTCCCCAGTGTGCATGGTGACTTTTAAACAGCTTGAAAATATGAAGAGTTCAGATTGTAACATTCCCGTGAGATTAGTTCTTTAGTTTTAAAATACAATAGTCTCCTTTCTTCCTTTGTTTCTAGGTTGATTTTTTTTAACTCTTTTGTGGCCATTTCAGATATGTATTTTTAAAAGCACCACACAGCCTGCTGTTGTCTTCTTTATACATAACTGTTCATCCTATTACCCAAACATAACTGGGCATCTAACACTATTCTCTGACTTAAAACATAAAACACATTTTCCTGCAGAAATCATTACCTGAATTTTATGGCCTAAGTTAGCAGTCAGGCTGAGGATGGGAGGGAGTGTAGTTTGCATAATACTGATGATAGGAGGGCAGTGTACATGTTGTTGTGCAGGAATTTAGTCAAAAGCTTAAGAAGACTTTTAATGCAGCATGAGAAAAAAAAAAGGGTAGATCTACTGCAGCTGTAACGCTTAGGATTTGTGATGCTGCAGGCTGTCAGTAAGCTATACACAGAAAGCAGCCTGTTTCAGCACAAGCACTGACATCTTATGCTACTGTAGAGAAATTAGCTTTCCTCCACACTTACATCCATAGTTTTGGGGTTTTTTTCACCTTAAGAATACAGAATAGCTTGCATTATCTTCCTTTAAATGTCATGTTAGAATATTTATAATTTGATTATGCTTTTTGAGGTGTGACTTCCAGGTCATACATTTTTGGTTTTACAATACGGAATCTGACTGCTGTACTGATAAATAAACTATGTAATGGTTTTAAAGAGTCTGTTCCCTTTTTCTCAGAAAGACATATAGCCAAATGAGAAACATGGTGAGTGGTCTAAATACCGCCCAGAACAGCATCTACCGCCAGACTAAACACAAGGATATTAGTTTTAGTTCACTCTAGTTCACCTGGTATTCACTGTTAGCTATCTCCCCGCTCCAGCAGCCTCCTTTGAAACGTATGTAGATCAACGGCACCACCAACCTGGGAAGCACAAAGACTTTCTCAGTAACCTGATGGCAGCCGTGGAACCCGATTCCTGAATAAATCTGGATAAACATGAACTTCATGGCCCTCAAAGGAAACAGCAGCTCGTGAACAAGAGATTTGTGAACGTATGTCAGCAAATGTTACAAGACAGACAGGCTTCAGCCAGCCCCTTTGGAAAAAAAATAACATCAAAGAATGTCATCAAATACAAATGCGCATCCTCTTTAGAGACAACATCTGTTCAAACATGCCACCAAAAGAAGCAGACACATGGATCTGGTAACCAGTCTGCTGACAAACATCTCACAAAACTTAAGTATTAGTTCAAACAGTTTGTTCTGCTCCCCCCTCCTTTTTTTGAACATTTACGTTTTTATAGCACAAGTCTCATCAGATGTCACTAACATTTTTTTCTTACAAAAAATGTTTTAAACTACAGCTAAAAAGCACACTAAAGGATCAGTGAAAGAATCCAACTAAATGTTGTAGTAGACAACCAGACACTGTGGCCTGCTAGCAGAACTAAGCATTTCCAGCCTTGCACAGCAGTTGAAATTTGTTTGAAGCTAACTTTATTATTTTTTAAATCACTTCTGCTATTATTCTTAATGCCATCATTGTACCACCCTCAGAATCAGTCAGCATGAGGGAGAAAAAAGCAGTCAGAATGCCTTTATTACCATCACTGTAAATACCATTGTTTTCAGAGGCTGTAGTGGGAAACACATTTTTACTCATAGTAAATACAAAGAATTGAACTTCTGTAGGTGATTGCTTTTTAAATCCTGATAAAATTTTTCATAGCAAAACTAATGCAGCAAGACTATTACCCTCTGCAAATTAACACTGTTTGTGCAGTACGCAAATGAAAAATACGCTTTCCCAAGTGTCAAGCCTGGGTGGGATTTTAGACAAAACTACAGCCCTTGAAAGAGGGAATAGGGCTTGGACTCGCATAAAAGACTATGGCTTGCACGGCACCGCCAGCCTTTTGTAGCTGCTTCTTTTCTGGGTTCCCAAAAACGGAGAGTCGCAAAAAATGGCTAGGTGGGTGGAGCGGCCTTCTTTCCCCACGACGACCCCCCTCCTAGCACAAAACACCCCTCAGGAGGCACGCGGCGGGGTGTGCACTGCAGGGTCACCAAGGCTACCCCCAAATCCTCCTGCCGGGGCTCGGACCGCGAGCGGAGGAGCCCGCG